ACTTTCTCTAGGGAATGAGCGAGCAAGTAAGCGAACAACCACGGGTCACCGGACATCGGCCTTTACCACTCATTCTCTTTCTCCCTGCCCCTGTCCCTGTCCATGCCCCTACCCCAGCCCCAGCCCCGACCTCGACTTCGGACCCTGTCCATATTCATGTCCCAGCCCATCTTGTGCTTTTTACTGATTTCTTCTTACGTAGATTTTACTATGCTAGTACAATATATAGATAAAAAAAGGCAATATGTAATAAAAAAATTAAAAAAAAAAGTTACAAGGCCGAACATCGAAGATAATTCATCACCAAATTAAATTAAACGAGAATATTAAAGACATTTTTTAGAAAAGAAGAAAAGAAAAGAAAGAGATGTTGTCTATTAAGAAGTTTCATGACTCACAACACTGCAAACTGCACATTCGTTATTCATTTCTTCTTTATTGTGTCGATAAAGATAAAGACATTCTATTTGCTTGATGAATTGTTATAAAACCAATGAAAATTATCTCTTAGTATTTCACACCAGATATAATATATTTATATTAAATGTTAAATATTTAATTATTATCAAATTTATTAAAATATTTTTTATAAGATGCTCAGATATTAATATCAATTCGATATATATATATATATATATATATATATATATATATATATATATAATATATTTTAAACAAATTCATTTTAATTGTTATATTTTTATTTAATAAATTAAATATATTTCATGAAAATCACTATAATTTCTCTCGAAATAGTAATTGAAATACTTGAAATACATACACATTCGTATTATTACAATAACAATTTTTAAAATATTGTAGCATAGATATATAAATAATACATACGTACATATAAAGGAAATTTCTTTAACAACTATTTATGCCATCGAATTATCGGTGTTATACTATTATTACTAGGATAACCATTCATTTATCAGGACATGGGTCAATGTACTCAAATTATGCAAAACTTTTGCTAGTTTTAATGGTAAAATATAAAATATTGGCCAATATCCATTGATATTGCTTCAAGTCTCTAAATTCTGTAAAAAATATTTTAATATTTTTCATTTTTTAAAAAATTTTTTTCATATAATTACTAAATTAACTTATTTACATTTAAATATTTACTCATTTTAGTTGCGAATAATGAAATAAAATAATGAAATATAATTTATTTGATGAAATATTTGTATGTTAGAAAAATAATATGATAATTTAGAATATATTTGAATAGATTTTACTACTAAGTAATATATATGCATACAAAACAAATTTATAAATTATAATGCAATATATACAAACTTTTATAATATTTTTATTTAATAAATATATACATATATATATTTTTTATTATTAATATAAATTTTTATTAATTTCTCTAAAAGATTCAATTTTATGGAAAAGTATAGGAATTTCAATCATATTATAATAGTTATAAAAAATAATAACAACCGCTTTGTCTGTTTAAAAAATATTAGTTGCTTCATTGATATTTATATTATAAGTTAATGCTGCAATCACTTTATGTTCATCAAAACATAAAATTTATTATAAATTATACATAAAACAATTTACAACATAAAAAATTAATTTATTAAACATAGTTTCATTAAATGTATCCTATAAACTTTCATGAAATTCAATAAATCCTTATTATAATTATCTTTTATCCCTATCATAATTATATATTATAAAATAATTATCCTTGCTAAATACTATTATCATTATATACAAAAATTATATTTATTTATTTTATACATTTCTCAAGAATTTTAATTTATATTTATGTAATTACAAATGTTTTAAATATGTTTAAGCATTAATATATAACCAATGATTTTATAGCATATTAACATTTTTAATATTTTTGTTTATAATAAAATGAAATTTTTCGAAAGACCTGTTTATATTTTTTAATTCTTCCGTATAAAAAAGTTAACTTTTTATTTATTGTTTTAGATCAATATTATAATTCTAAAATAAAATGTGGATATTGCTCACATATTTTTTTGTTTTTGTATCTTATTCGTAATATGCCAATTTTATAATAATTTAGCTATTTATATTTTATAATATCAATGCTATTATCAAAATAAACATTTACTAATATTAATATGTTTTAATATAATGGAAACTTTTTAATAATTATATTAAACTTATGAATAATTTATAAAAAATTTAATATTTTCAAAATTACATTTAATTTAAAAAAAATTTCTTAATATTTAAATATTACATATTTATCATATTTTTAATAGATGATATAAAATTTTAACATTTCGAAAAAATTTTATTTGAATTTAATTGACCATAGAGAGAATACTTATTATATAATTAAGAGTAAATATGAATGAGTTTTGTAAAAAAAAAAAATATATATATATATATATATATATATATTACAAACCATAATTTAAATAACCTTTTGTTTATTCTATCTATAATTAAATTATGAAATTTTAATAAATTTATATGTACGATATTTTATAAAGTAAGTTTTTATAAAGTATAAATTATTATCTATTTATTATTTCAAGAAGAATTATAATTAAGAAATATATAATGAAAACAAAAATTATGACTTTTAATGCTAAATGATACAGGTCGAATATTTACTAATATAAATGAAAGATTCTTTTCAGATGATTTAGTGAGAAATATATAACTGTCACCTTGGATTTTAAGCTATAACTGCAATATATTTATTGACTGTATGTATTGATAATCAATGAAAGTGAGAGAAGTTAGCGTTCAAGATTAATTCCTATGTATGCAAATTAATAAGTATTTATACAATCGAATACATGTAAGTATGCAGGTGAATGTTGGTGATGCGTATATTTGCATATATGCATCCGAATAAAAGTCTAAACATGACTGTGTTGATACGTATTTATGCGCGCGCGCGCGCGCATTTCACACAGTATGCATGTTTACACGTGTATAAGCGAAAGTGCGAGTGACGCTAAAGTTGAGGTTGAGTAGAGAGTGGAGGTGTCGTTGTTATATATGTCAGGGTTTGCGTCGATGCCATACGGCGCGCGACCTTGACTGCCGAGTCGGACGGCATAGCGTCTCTATATCACTGGGTGAAGGAGAGCCTTCAGGGTCGGAGAGCCAATCACTCGACTGGGACTATGACTGAACTTCCTAAAGCAAGCGTCTTTAATAATTCAAAAATTAAAACTCTAAAGTAAAAAGTTATCCACAGTATAATATTAGATTTTGATAAAGAAGCAGCTTTGAATTCTAGTTCCACTGATGATACTGAGTATAATCAAGTTACTAATATTACTAATCGTAATCTGTAATGAGTGTGTGTGTGCGCGCGCGTGTGAACGCGTGAGTGTGTATGAAACTATATTAACCTTATATAGAATAGAAAATGTCTTCTTTCGACCTTATCTGCAATATGAGATAAACTACAAGATATTACATCAACTATCTTGTCCTTGAAAATATGTAAAAAATTTTTAGTTGTATTCCACATTTAATATTTCGTTGCTTAGGAAGCTAATACATAAACCATCATTGTAATCAAACTCATCAATATCTACAGTTTTTTTTTAACACATTCTTATAGGCAACCAATTACTTTTACTTATTCGCTTTTACATTGTTCAATAAAAAATGTTTTCTTTACAAATATTTACAAATATTTACTTTTTCGGAAAGATGATCCAATATTTGATCCAATAAGATAAAAAAAAAAAATCAGGGTTAGAATTTAAAAAATTTTCCCTTACGCATATTAATTCAATAATAAAATGTTAATGATTGACATTTATAAATTGCACGCATTCTATATTTTATTAGTGCTAGAAAAGTACAGTTTATATAAAGCCTATAGCCGATATTTTATAGGAAAAGTGATTATATAAAGAGAGAAGATTAATAAATTAAAAATAGGATTAATTTATACACGCTGTTGAAATATTAGTAAAATAGTAATGAGAATTTAGTGTTTTAATTTATTGCTCAAAAGATATACGTATGACAATTGGACTAATCGAAAGTTTAAGAAAATACAAACGAGGAGCTTTCGATCAATAAAATGAATCTGCCATAAAAGTCGATTCATTGAATGTGAACGACCAACAACCGTGAACTTTCACTTAGCTCGCTCACATGTACAATACATTTATTTTTCTATCTATAGATAGAAAATAATCGAGATTATGTGTACTCACACACGTATATATATATATATATATATATATATATATATATATATATATATATATATATATATATATATATATATATATTTATTTATTTATTTATTTATTTATTTATTTATGGCTTTTTCTTTATTAAAACTCAGTTGACAATAATGAAAAGGAATTGAATGTCGAGGTAAGCAGTTATTTATTATAGCCGATCCTGGTAAACGCTTAGTTGAATTTGGCCAAGGCAAATTCGCCAATTCCGAGTATAATTGGCAAATATAGTTATTGTTTAGTGGTAGCACAAATAATTTCGAAAGCGAATAAAAACGAAGCAATAACTGGAGTTGTATACTCTGATATTACGCAATAATGCGATCGAACAGCCGATCTTGAAAAGTGAGAGAGTATAAAGTGGGAGAAAATGAGAAGAGAGAGAGAGAGAGAGAGAGAGAGAGAAAAGAAAAAGAGAGATAAGATAGAGAGGGAGAGAGAAAAGAAAAAGAGAGATAAGAGAGAGAGAGAATATAAAGGGGCGACGGAGGAAACATTATGGAAGCTCGTTGAAGGTGAGTGAGGCGAAGAAAAGCTCTAAAAGTATTCTAAAATACTAGCTCGAGAGTGCAATGTTAAAAGTAAAAGGTAAAATGGGTAAAATGTGAAAAGGTTCTGGAGGCGTTCGCGCGTCCGAACGAGTAAGAGTTTAAGCGCTCGTGGGGCTTCTCGATTCTCGAGCCTACGACGCATAGCATCGTTGGCCATGGCTATGGCCTTAGATCCCCCTCCCGCGCGAGTTCGCACGAGCAGAGCGAGAGACCGATTCCACTGCAGCTAGAGAGGGAGAGTGTCTCTGAGCCTAGGATAGCGCTAGGCTAGGCAAAGTCAGCCGCCGCTCATGCACCTTCAGTCTGGGTATCGCGCTGCCCGGAGGACGTTCACCGCTTCCTTAACACCGGCACGCGCCGATGCTCATCTTTCTTTCGCTCTTTTTATCCCTCGCACTCTTGGCCAGTACTTCCGTCTAGTAGAGCACAAGCATGCAGCGGTGTGCGCCGAGCAATTCGAATAGCATAAGCATCGCGAGCAGCAATGCTGGACAAATGTAAATGAAAGAGTGACGCAAGCCACTATTGCCATCGCCACCGCCACCGCCACCGCCACCGCCACCGCCACCGCCACCGCCGCTGCTGCTGTCGTTGCTACTGCTGCTGCTTCTACTGCTTCGGTGCCGTGTTGCAACCTCGAACGCGCTTGCACGTGTCTACGAGTCGCGCAAGTGTGGAGAGACCGAATGCGCAAAAACAATCGCCATTGGTGTTTCTCTTTGTTTCGGCAATTGTTTAGTCGCCTGCCCGGCTCTTCTCCGCCTTCTTTCAGACAACAAGAGCCACTTGTTTGACAAATTAGTGCGCGAGTGCATGCGTTCCTCCTTCGTTCTCCACTCCTCCTCGTTTCACGCTCTTTACTCTCCCTCCCCTCCCCTCTCTTTTTGCTGGCATGCTTTCTTCCCCATTTGCATTACCGCAGTTCGGTGAGGCGAGAGCCGAGACGGAGACTTTATTCGCTTGCATCTTAATTAATCCTTGACTCCTTCCTTGTGCTTTTTTTTCTAATCATCGTAGTTCGTATTTCTAGCAGTCGGCGACGAATCTTATTACGAAGGCCCCAGATCGAAAGTGATAAGCAGGCTTTACAAATTTTGAGGTGAGACCAACAATTTAACTTATTATACTACCTTACACTCACTTATCATTTCACTAATAAATTAAGTGGATTTCCACTTAAATAAGTGATCGATAAAATCGCCTTGGCTATCCTGCCAGATCGATGCGCTACTTATTCCATAATTAAATTAATATTTTGAGCTTTATATATAATGTGCGTATATACCTAATTATATTAATGCATACGTATTGTTGTATACTGAATGAAAACTTGCCTTTATAAAAATAGATAATTGGCGAGATTATGAGGAACAGCATTTTAAATAGTAGAAACTAAACTTTTAACTTGTGCACTTAGTACGTCCAATTTTCAATCAGTATCTGCGTGAATTGTTAAATTTAATGAAGATGTAAATTATATTAAGTGTAACCATATAGTCGCTCAATTTATTTTAAAGAAAGAGAATCCAAGAATATTTGGGTATCTTGCAATCGCTACTTCACACGACCTTGTCCTTGAGAGCTACGAGCCGTAAGTTACGGCGTCAAGAGTTTGCCGATGAGTACTGCTCTACACTTGGTTTTATTCGGTGTCAATTTTTTTTTTTTCTCTTTATCATCATCATTCTAAACATCATCTACATATATTTATTATAATATAAATTAATATTAACCGAGAGAATAACTTAATATACATTACTTCGCTTACCTGAAGTGCAGGAAATGTGCAGAAGAGGTGGCAAAAGCAGCACGTGTATTTTTGGCCCCTAGGTTAGCCTTCGCACCTCACAATCATTCTCATCAACACTATCATTATATGCCATAGATCTATCATTTTTCTTTGTCACATCACTCAATTTGATTTATTATTTTTGTGCTTTTGCCTAAATTCTTTTAATAATATCGGGTTTAATCTTTTTATTCGGTTCTGATTTAATATTTATACACGTACATGCTCACATATCAATATTATTTATTCAATTTTTGTCAACTCTTATTGTTGGTATTTATAATGTTGTCTAGCTTTTCAGTAGTTTAAACATCGAGAGCCAAAGCGATTCATTATTACTTAATATTACACTTTACTTGATTAAATCCTAATGCATATTTTATTAAAATTCTATCAATTGTTTTTCTATTTATGAGTTTTCTTGCTAATTTTTCGTATTAATCATGCTTTTTCTGCTTTTAAAAAAAAATAATTTTAATATATAGATAAGATAAAATAGAATTAAATCATAAGTCATATATTAGATCACTCTCCCCTTCTTTCTTTATGTCTGTCTGTCTGTCTCTCTCTCTCTCTCTCTCTCTCTCTCTCTCTCTATATATATATATATATATATATATTTATTTATTTATATATACAGGCATATTCTACATTTTTTCAATTAATGACAGATCCTTGAGCTACGTGTGTACTTCGTAAAAGCAAATGACCTTACTAAAAATGTCTTCTCGCGCATCACGTACTAAAACCTAGTGAATTTTGCCAACAAATATTTATATGGTCTGTTTCGTTTGAGAAAATTGTTTTAAGCACACAAACCGAAAAATTTATAAAAAAAATACGTTATAAATATCTTGCACATTATTTATAATTCTTACAAAACTATATAATAAAATTAAATTAATTACTTTTAATAAAAAATCTTTATTTGAATTAGTGAATTTTTTAAATTCGTTGTGTATGTAGATATAATTTATTTTACAGTTATTAATTTATTTAATTATAATCTTTTTTTAGCTATAATTTGATTGATTGATTTTATAATCTTACGTATTTAATAAATAAAATTAACTACTTATATTAAAAATATTTATAAATCTTTTTCGATATATTAAAGTTTTAAATAGTTTATAATTTAAGTAAATTTCTAATAAACATTGATAATATAGGCAATGTAAAAAAATTTTCATTTAAATTGAATAACGATTATACGCTAATATATATAATTTTCATAATCATTCATTTTATTATTTTGCATAAATGATATTTCCGATGCAACATGTAGTCATAAATTTTACATAAAAATGTATTTGTATAAAATTTTAAATAATTGATAAATAACTAAATAGTAAAAGTTAGGGTTTGGAATGCAATATATGATAATATGTTTTACTTTCGTACAGGTAGCTTATACATAACTTTTGTAAAGGCATTTATACATAAAATCTCTCGTGTATATATATTGTAGTTAACAATATTTTAAAGTTAGAATAAATATCTTTGAAGACCAGTACAATAATGATAAAAAATATTGATTTCTTGACTTTTATGATATTTGATTGTAATTTCTGAACCAGCATATCAGAATCAGTGAAGATAGTTGACCTTGGTTATATTAATATGGAGTTAATTCATATTCGTGATTTCACTTCTATTACCGAAAGGGCTTTTAAATATTTTTTCAATATTTTCAAAAATTAATTCTGCAGAAAGGGCTACAGAAAAATAATTATTGATACAAGGAGAAGGAGATGTTACCGTGGAAAAAGCCGGTCATGGACTTGGTTGCTTTTGATCAAGGATTAACTATACTTATACATACACGTATTTTTAGGAAGAACAGCTTTTTAATAACGGCTCTTTTATATTTTCTGTCCTTATTTTAATAGAACCGATCATTAATGTTTTACTTTTAATTCATTATTTTATATTATTATTATAATTGTATTTAAAATTTAAGAATTTAAAAATAATTATTGAAATAACAATAATAAAACCATATGTTTATATATATATATATTATTATTTATTTAATATATATAAATAATAAAATGCATATAATAAAAATAAGTATAATATTAAGATATGATATTTCATTATATACAAAAATATAAATGTATTTATTCGTATTTATTGTTTGTAATCTGAAAAATTTTATATATTGGAATTTATTGTGATTATCAAATCTTCCCTGACATTGAAATTATGTACAATTCGCTGTATTTGGTTCTATGTATGATTAAACGAGCATAGAGACCTTAACTTTGGTACATGACGACAATATTGTATATAAAACAAGAAGACAAGGTTGAAAACGACTTTACGCAATCGCTCGGTCAACTTATATTACTAAATAAATTTGTCGCTCTCATTGAGCGACTCAACGCGACTCAAATGCAGACTATGCCGTACTCAGCAACCGTATGTAGTACCGAAAATACCCCTAGCTACGCAATTATTATTATCCTTGAGATTAAAAAAGAAGACGAAATGAAAAAATGTATGAAAATAAAAATATAATATATAGAAATTATATTTAGTATAGAAAAGGTTAAATGAAAGCAGAAAAAAATGAATTATCGCTTTTAAATGGTAAGGCAAGAAGCCTTGAAATTTTGAGAAATATAAAATAAAATCGAAAATGCGATGTCTTGCATCACATTAATGCAGCGGCACATAAGTACGTTTGCACATCGGTACATCATTTTTCAATAACAGGAAGAAGTTACCTCATTTATGCCTGTAAACGAAATATCACAATCGCTTATAAAGTTCGTTGTTACATCTTACTTTGGTAAAACGAAGACGAATTTATATATACAGACAAACGTTTGCACACACAAATACGTACGCACGCACATGGACATATTTTGATTTAATATTAAGAAAGTCGTTGTATTTATGCTGTGAAATAAAAATGTACAAATCTAAAAATTGTCTAGAACAAAGAATCAAGTAATAGATCACGTGGCAATTGCGCGTGGGTCGAGGACAAGCCAGTCGCGGTCTATCGTTTCTTATCTTGGTACAGAAGTTAATGTGAAGCATTCTATTCTTCGATTTTCTCGTCTACGATATAAAAGCATATAAGTATCTAGTTCTACAATAATATTTATTTTACTTTAGAATTAATTAAAATAAACAGTTATTCTTATTTATAGCACATTACATTTATTATTATTAAAAAAAAAAAATTTAATATGTCTTAATATGTTTATATATTGAGAAATAGTTTAATAAATAAAGAAATATATTATAAAAAGTAATACTATTTTTAGATTAAATAAGATTTGGCTTATTATTTTAATGAAACTAAATATTATTCAAATATATAATAAAGAATTTAAAAAATTACAAATAACTAGAATGATATTAAATATTTTAGAAATAACAATAACATATTTATAATAATTTAGTCTCCGATATTTGACAATCTTAACATTTAATGTAGAATCAGTATTATTAGATATAGTGCATTATTTTTAACTTTCAAAGATTGGTTAACGTTCAAAATATATAATTTTAACAATAAATAATTTGTAATTAAATATATGATTGCATAAAGAAAATCTTAGCCTGATTATAAATCAAACAATTATACGCGATTATCTTCTTTAATTGATAAACATAATGTAAGGTAAATCATTTTACAAATATCACAAAATATTTATTAATTTTGTTTAAATTAAATTGAAACATACAACAATGCATAACAAATATATATTTATTATACTTTCTATATTTTTGCTTGGAATTCAGTACGTAAACTGACGTCAGTTAATTCTATGAGTGTATACAAATTTTCCATATTTCAAAAGGTTGTTTGTGATAAAGTATTACTTATTTCAATAGAAAATTTGGAATGAATATTAATAGCGTATGTACATTGAAAGTGAAACTTTCTCATTTAATGAAAATTTACAAAATATTACTCCAATGTATAAAAAGCAATATAAAATTAAAGAATTTAAAATATTTAATAATAATAAAGGTTAGATAAAATTTATTGAAAAAATTTTAATTATAATTCACTTATTTTGTTTGAAAAGATTTTATACAGATATCTAATATGTAATAACAGTAATAAATAAAATAATAATTAAAAATTTATTTAAATAAACAATTTAAAGCCTTTCATTGTAAATTTCATAAATTTTGTACAATACAATTATTTGAATAAAAAAAAAGAAAAATACTTTAATAGCATCATTAATATAAAGATATATAAAACGAAAAAAATTTAAAGAAAAATATTATTCGAATGAAATACTTTTTTTACCAATATTCTTAGGTGTCTGACCGATTTCAAT